TGAGGCGATGCGACGTTCGCGAGTGAGAGCAGTTCGATGCGGCGGTGGCCATCGGTGGATTCCTGGAGGATGAGAACGATCGCAGGTTTGCGTTTGCCGTCTACTTTTTTCGGACTTTGGCTCTTCCTCATCACAGAGGGATCGCCGATTCGATATGTAATTTCGACGACGTGATGGCTAGCATCGAGCAGCGTACAGGGGCTTTTATTGTCGTTGCTCGAACGGAGATGATACACGAATCGGCACTGATCAGATGCATCCTAGCGCAGCTGAATCACGTTGGAACACGACCGCTTAATCCCCTGCTCAAGTTGGTCTTGGAAACTTCGAAATCCAGTTGGCCGTTCGATTATCTGTTCGTGATACCCGGTCGCTCTTCGAATCTCGTTCGATGCATCAACGAGGCGCGATGGGGACCGTTCGTTCTCTCCATGGTGACGGAAGCGATTGATATGCTGTCGGAGTCGGAAGCCGAAGAACTGAAAAGTGTCATATTCTTGCAAAGGCGATGCAATCAGGTCAGATACTCGTACGACGTCATCAACCCGGCCGTTACCGGTTCGGAATCGATCGTCATTTGTCGATATTGTTACATAGTCCTAACGTACGTCGATCTCAAGAACAGGCCTCCGACCAAAGGGGTGTACCTAGACGAGAACACGTTGGTGCCTTCCTGCTTCAACTGTCATTCGCGACGGTTGGTCACGTTATCCTTGGATGGTGCCGGAGTGCGTCTGACCGTCAAGCAACCCGATCTGGCAACGATGCGCTCGTGCGGTTGCGGTGTCATCACGTCCCTGTCTCTTATACACATCTAGATGTGTATAGTTGCGGTGTCATCACGTCCCGTCGGTCGTGCGTATTTTGCAGCCAACGGCCACCGGCACTTGGGTCATCCGATGACATATGTCTTCGTCGATGAGCGTTTTTGCCAACTTGACGGGCTCTTCGTCGTCTTCGTCGTCGCCGTCTTCGTCGTCCGAATCTTCGTCGAATAATTGTTGAATGGACTCTACGCACGCCTTGCGTCGATCTCTTCTACGCGCGACGTTTGCCACGGTCGGTAGACTTTTTTCGGTTCCATTCGTTTACTGTCTTTCACCAGACGGTATTCTTCCTCTTTCAAACGATCGTATTGCATCGCGTCAACCTCGCGCATTTCGTTCTTCAGCTCGTCTTTCGTCATCCGGAACCTGGCTTTTCCGGTGCTCGCCTGCAGTCGTTCGTAAGCTTTGCACATCTTGATTTTGGAGGCCAGTTGGCCGGCACACATTCCGGATTCCACCGCCTGCTGTATGCGTCGACGTTCGTCCGAAACTTTCTCCTCGCATCTGTTCTCCTTGGCTGCAAGATTTCTCAACGCTTCCACCCGCTTGAATTCGTACCGACGATGACGACGGCTTGCTGGGAACATTTTTTTTTTCATTCGAGTAGTTCTCGTATATACATGAGTACGCAAAACAAAACAACAAACTGACGGAAAAAAATGAAGAGGATCGCCGCTTTGATCGCGGCGATGGTCGTTTTCGCGGCCGTCTTGTACGGAGTCATAGATCGGTACGAATGGGACGGCGAAACTTTCGGAAGCCCGAAAAAAAGCTACAAAGAGTTGCTGACGGCCAACATCGTGCTATTCGTCATAACTTTCTACTCGGGACTCAAGTTTCCTCTCATAAGATATATGTCTTACTTCTACGGCGGTAGCGGCCGGTTGCTGTTCGTCACCGAATCCGTCGTCCGCATAACCGTGCTGCTGGGATTGGATTACAGAGTGCAGAACCTGGTTGTGTCGCAGCTGTCATCGCGTCTGGCCATCCTCTTCGCCGATCTTATGGCCATCGTCATCGAATTCGCTATGACGCAGTATCCGTACGACGTTCGGTGAGTCGAACGGCACCGGCCCGTGATAAATCCACGCCACGCACGACTCGACCGCCTGCTCGTACTTGAACGACAGCACTCGCTCACCCCTCTTTATTAGAAACCTGTTGTCGTCGTACAGAAAGCAGAGACCGTCTCCGCCGGGCAAGCCGTCAACGTCGCATCGATTCATCTTGGGGCAGCCACCCGAAACGGGCATGGCTGCAAAAATGTGCCAGGTCAATAAACACTTGTACAAACACGTTATCTCGTCCATCGTATCACTTTTCAAAGTTACTCGTCCCAAACCGTCCACGTACTCGCAGACGCTTTCGGCCGGCACGTTGCATGCTTCCATCCACGTCCAGAACGCCACCTCGTATCTGGTGTTCTTCGGGTCGATCACCGAGCACGGATCCACCACCATCCTGAAAAATGAGTTCTTCGCCGACTTGCGCTGTTCGCGTTTGTCCGGGTTGGCAAGCATGGATTCCAACAGGTTACGACTCCACCTTTCGTCCGATTCTTCGAACGTGTCGTACCGACGCGACGCAATGTTCGATCGTTTTTCGGCGTAAGAAACCAATTTGGCAAGCGCTGCGATGCATCCCAGGCTGATCGTCTTCGGAGCGGACGCGAACCGTACGCATGACTCCACGTACTTGATCTCTTTTTCGATTTCCCTGCGCAATTTCACCGCCGCCGTCTTTACTCGTCTATCTCGACGTTTCACCAAACCGAACTCGTCGCGCTCGTCGTCGCCGTTGTCCTTTGCCACGTCCGAATGGCCGCGCGCGAACGGACGTGGAAACACCACCATCCTGCTCTCGTCTTTTTCGTCGTAGTCGTCGTCATTGCGGTTTTCCTCATCTTCTTCTGTCCCTACGGTGGACACGAGATGGTGACATTCGTCGTCAGATTGCTTTCTCTTGCACCAGCAACATCTGTAACCTACCGGGGGACAGCAACCTATCGGCATCGCGGGTAACGTTCCCATGACGACGGCTAATCTCCACAAAACCGATAAACTTGCGATTATCTCTTTGGAATGCACGCTCGACCACGCGAACATCACTTTGCATCGCATGCTTCCGTCCATATCGGTCATCGTGCAGCATTCCGAGGATACGGTCGTCTTCGAATCGGCGTCGGTCAGACGATCGACGAGCAAAAGGCACCGAGCAAACAACGAGAGCTCGCGATCGTCCGAATTGCATTCGTCGATGCACGTTCTCAGTCGGTCGCGAAAACCGTTGAGATCGACGGCGTCAAACTGTTCCGCTGACATGTCCACCGCGTGACCGATTCCGGCCCATCCAACCCATTCTCGTCGTACTTGCAATTCCAGCTTCTTCCAGATATCGTAAGACATTTTTAAACTTTGAAACAAACACACACATACGCTCGTGTTTCAAAATAGTGACGTGTCCAGTTCTCGTTTCTCATTTTCCTCCTTTTCGCGATTAGACGGTAGATTCGCGAGCAAAAGTTGTATCATGATTAGAAAATTGTCCGAACTTGTTGCAGGATCGTTTCTCGGATAGAACATTATCGAAAACGATGGGCTTCGGGTTATGTCGTGCGTTTCCATCGAGTATCCGTCTTGACATTTCGATCAAACTGCGGGTGTCGGTCTGTTTTATGCTAAGTTCCGGGGAGCATACAACGAAACGAGCGTCGTGTCGACTTTGGTATTCTGTCGGATCGTCGGTCGCCTGGAAGCAGATGGGTACCGAGCACAGGTTCTGTTTCTGTAGTTGCACTCCCGGTATCTTGGTCATGAACGCGATCAATCTCATCATCGTCTTCGTACCTTCCGTCGGTGGATTTTGGTAAACGACCAACGGAGCTATGGCCGTGGAACCGCGTCTGCACGTGAGTGCGGTTGCTGCCTGCGACATTTCGTCGTTTCCCAAGCGTGCGTAATGTCTGGCTTCGTTCAATAGTTCGTTAAACGTTGAAATTCTATCTTCGAACAGTGCGTCGTACGAAAGCATGTGAGGTTGCATATCCACGACGAACGACAACATCGGGATTTTTTTCTCGCTTCTTTCTCTTCTTCTTCCTCTTCTTCGACCTCTTCGCCATCGCTTTGTAGTTTGATGCTCGTTTTCCGCGACTGTTTGTTATCTCTCGATCGATCCAGTTTGGATTTTAGTTTCTTGATCTCCGAATTCATTTTCGATCGATCGTCCCAATATTTGTTTTTGCTTAATCGCGCAGACGGCTGATCTCGGACTTCAACTTTTGAAAATTAGACACAAGATTGTCTCTTTCCTCTTTCAATTTCTCCAACTCGAACAGCTTTTCGTTTTCAATGTTCCCGGTCGACAGGTAATTAATTTCGCAAACTTTTTCCTCAATTTCACTTCTTGCTAACCGCAACTCTTGCGTTGAATTGGATGTCGTGTGTTGCAACTGTTTAATCCTCTCTTTTTAATCGCCGAAATTATCAATCTCCGTTTTCATTTGTTCGTTTTGATTCCTAAGTATTTTTATCTCTAATGCCATCCGGTATCTAAATTTTTCGACTCGTTCAGTGATTTCTCGCTCGATTCTAAACGCTTGATCAGCTTTACATTGCGATTGCCATCGTCGTCATCGTCGGGAGCGACCGCTCTTTCCAAATCAGATATCGTGTTCTTTAGCCGATCAACGTCCCGTTTGTAATCTTCTGTTTCGTGCGTCTGTTGGCGCAAACGATCGATTTCAGATTCCGAGTTTTTGCGCTCTTTTCGAAAATCGGATATCATGTTCTGCAACCGATCGACTTCTGCCGTTTTCGTTCTCATTCTCTCGGTATCGTCCGCGGAAACCTTGTGCAACTCCTTCGTTGAAGTCAACTGTTGGCGCAAACGGTCGATTTTGGATTCCGAGGTTTTGCGCTCTTTTCGCAAATCGGATATGGTCTTCTGCAACTGATCGACCTCCCGTTTGTAATCGGCCGTTTTCCTTCGCATTCTTTCGGTTTCGTTCGTGGAATCCTTGTGCAACGTCAACTGTTGGCGTAATCGATCGATTTCGGATTCCGAGTTTTTGCGCTCTTTTCGCAAATCGGATATGGTGTTCTGCAACTGATCGACCTCCCGTTTGTAATCGGCCGTCTTCGTTCGCGTTCTTTCGGTTTCGTCCGCGGAAACCTAGTGCAACTCCTTCGTTGAAGTCAACTGTTGGCGCAAACGGTCGATTTCGGATTCCGATATTTTGCGCTCTTTTCGCAAATCGGATATGGTGTTCTGCAGCTGATCGACTTCCCGTTTGTAATCGGCCGTTTTCTTTCGCGTTCTTTCGATTTCGTTACGCTGTTGGCGTAATTCCGATTCCGAGCTCTGTAAATTCCTGTCTCTTATACACTTCGTGCCTTGCATCTTAGGCACCTGGCTCTTATACACATTTAGATGTGTATAAGAGTGTTCCTTCATTCTGTCTTCTAATTCCGACATTCGTGACTCGTGAAATTCCGTCTTGGCTCGCTCGGCGGCGGACTTTGCCTCTGCCAATTCCTCCTGCGTCCGTTTCAGATTATTTTTGGCATCGGCGAAGATCAGATCCTTTCGTTCGTTTTCCCGAGCCGATTTTGAATTTCTTGTTTCCAAATTCCGTTTCATTTCGGCCATCTCTTCCCTTTCTTTTTCCAAAGTCTTGATTGCTTTCCGTTCCCGCTCTTCGGCCTTAACCTTTTCCCTTTGCATGCTCTCCACTTGTTTCACCAGAGACTCGGTTTCAATTTCGCGCTCTTCCGGGTTCTCCTCCGGTTGTTGTTGTTGTTGTCCTCCTCCTCCTCCTCCTCCTCCGGGAGTTGGTACATTAAACACCCACCGAGATTCTTCGCTGTCATCGAACAAGTCGTATGCTGGACTTTCCGGTTCTTCTGGCGCTTGGAACTCTGGCGTATTTAGAAAGCTATCGATTGCTGTCGTCACATGTACATCCTCCGTCTCGTCCACAACCGTTCTGTCATCATCGTCTTCGTAGTTTTCCCCTTCCCCTTCCTCATCCTCCTCCTCCACATCCCCCTTGCTTCAACCATCATGTTATCGATTGCCTCGGAATCTAAAATCGACACCGTGTCGTTTCTCGTCGCCGCTCTAACTGGTGTTCGGGCTCCCTCCTCCTCCTCCTCCTCCTCCTCGTCTTCATCGATCTATATCACTTCCGGTCTCTGGGAAGCCTCGAGATTTCTCAATTGAGCGTAGCTGGCATCGGACACCTCGTACCGGCTACGTTCGTATGTTTCCATGCTTTTGGTAACGGTGTCGAGGTTTATGGTGTCGACGGTGGTTTGGCTGTACTTTAAATTGCAGAGAGCGCCGAATGCGATAGCGGCTACGTTGGCCTCGAAGTGGCAGCAATCGGTCCACGGTAACTCGTCGCTAGTCGGCGTGCCGAACGGCGTTTGTCTTGTTTTGTAATCCCCTAACTCGATAGTTACTCGATCAATCAACGCATTGTGGATTCGTTTCGAGTTCAGAAATGGTTTCTGTTCGATGTAGGAAGACACCGATCCTAGCAAATTGTCGAAATTCAAATCGAGAGCGTTTTTTTCGTGAACTCCAAATTCCGACGATTACTGCCATTCTCTGTACCCATGCAACGGTCGGCCGTTCTTCAATTTTGTCGAGATTCAGAAACATGGCGTGAGCGAACACCAGATCGTTATTCTCCCAGTGCTCCATCTCGACCGATATCTCGTTGTCGATCTTCTCGTACGACCAACCGGAGGCGGCGATCTCTTTGCTCGAA